TTTTTTTGGAAATAGCTCCGATCTATTGGTGGGGAGCAGCACCTGCTGGAAAACAGGTCCAGCGTCCCTTACATATATTTTTGAATGAACATAGTATCAACAAAGTGTCAATCCAAAAATCTCATATCCAAGTAAAGAGTTGATCTAGTCATAGAAATCCAGATGCCTCTTCAGTCATACAAAATGACCGCCAGAACAGAGTGATTAACCTAGCATCTATCTCAATAAACTCCTACCTGTCTAATAAAACCGCCTATCCTCCCTCTTTCCCCCCAAACCATCCTAGGTCCACTAGAGCCAATTGCTCTTTCCCCTCCGGACACTACGGCTCTTTGACCCTGCCTTGGACAGAACATAGCCAGCCCTGTTGGTTGGAGCTTTGCATGTGTTTCACTGATACAGTGCATGTGTGTACCATTCATTTAGCCACTTGGCTACAATCTTCCCCCGAACAGAACGCACCCCCGGCATGACTGCATGGACCGGAAAAATGGCTTGTATACATTCATAATCAGGGTGTGTTATATTCGGGGGAAGACGGTAACCAGTGCTGCATCGATACCTCACTGAAATTATTATTTCAGGGTGGGAGTATTATCCCAAAGAAACTCAGAAAAAGTACAAGACCATCATTAGTATAATACTATAATGGTGCAAGGCCATTGCTCCCTTTTTCTTTTTTTCTGCATACGGATCCGGGCCACCCGGCTGACCGGCGCCTGCCCGGGGGAGGTCCCGGGCGGCCTGGCCAGGCGGGCGGCCCAGTTGGGGGCTGGCCCCCCCCAGCACACCTTGTTGGCGGGAGGTTTCCGACCCCGAATCGGCGAGATTTCGCCTCCCCAGGGCCTACTGGGTCCGACCACGCCGAGAAAACGGCGCGTTGGGCCCGTGGACGCCCTCCGGCCGTCGATCATCCATGATCGACGGCCAGAGGGCCGTTCATTTTTGGAGGGAAAACGGAGGCCCCATTTGAACAAGCGACTGGCTGGGGCGACCTGCATTGGCTGTCCAAACGGGGCCTCGATACCTGCTCCAGCCGCCTGCGTTCGTCGTCGAGTCACCCGTTGTCGAAATAGCTGCCCCTCGTCGCCATCGCCTGGGAGCTTCACTCGCCCGTCGCCCATCGCCAGCGTCGTCGATCACGGTGCTCCTGCCTGCCGACAACCCCTGCCGCCCGTCGACGTGGAGTGCCGGTATGTTCTTCTTCTTCTTCTTCTTCTTCTTTTTCTTCTTCTTCTTCTTCTTCTTCTTCTTCTTCTTCTTCTTCTTCTTCCCTCCTCCTCCTCCTCCGCTCACTCTTCTGCTTCTTCTTCTCTCCTCCTCCTCCTCCCCCTCTCATCTTCTTCTTCTTCTTCTTCTTCTTCTTCTTCTTCTTCTTCCTCTTATACCTCTTCTGCTTTTCTTCTTCCACGACTTCTTCACTCCTCCTCCTCCTCCCCCTCTCATCTTCTTCTTCTTCTTCATCTCTCGTCGTCGTCCTCCCCCTCATCTTCTTCTTCTTATTCTTCTCTCCTC